ACCACATGAGATAAGCAGGGAAAAGGAAACAGAGAAGTTGAACAGGGCAGCGAACTGCACAGCAAGCACATGGCAGAACCAGAAGCAGAGTGGAGGTCTTCTTAGTTCCGAAGCCCTGTCCCTCGCCCGCCAGCTCTAGGAGAGACCCTGAAAACCTAGACAGCACTCCAGAGAGGGGCAGGGCCTCAAAATAGCCAGCTATGCCCCTGGTGAAGTAGCCAGAGCAATCCCATTCTGGAGATGAGGAAATTGAGATCTGGAGAGGAAATACAACTTGTCTGTGGCCACGTGGCTAGGGAGTGGTTGGATCAGCTAGACTCTGAGTTTCGGGTGGATGCAGGCACACTTCTAGAGTTTAGGCCTGCGCTGAGCCCATGGAAGGATTCCGCCTACTGTCTGTGAATACATGAATGAATGACAGAGTTGGTTAGAAGCACAGCGTTCTGTGACTCCCACATGCCATGTGCTTGCCCCTCAACTGTGACCTCAGGAGCTCAAGACCAGGCTGATGTAGGCAAGCGTCACCTGAACTCAACAATGACTTTCAAACCCCATGTACTCCGGTCTGAACCCACGGATCTATCAGAGGCATGGTTAGTGATGCTGGTGCTGGTTCCCATGCAGACTGCAGCTCCCCACCAGAACTGGAACTGAGCCATAAAGCGGGGCGGGAAGACAGCCGAACTGGTCATTCTTTGGCCCAAGGACTGGTGTTTACAACATGGACTGGACCCTCTTCTCAAAAGTCTGGTATTTGGAGTAAATTGGTCTAATTTTAGTGAAACTTTCTATTGTTGTTGTTTAGTCGCTGAGTCATGTCCGACTCTTTTTGTGACCCCATGGACTGTAGCCCGCTAGGCTCCTCTGTCCATAGGATTTCCCAGGCAAGAATACTGGAATGGGTTGCCATTTCCTTCTCCAGAGAATCTTTCCAACCTAGGAATGGAACCTGTGTCTCCTGCATTGGCAGGTGGGTTCTTTACCACCAAGCCACCGGGGAAGCCAAGTGAACCCTTTAGTAGCAACCAATTCACAAATACTGCAATTGTTTTTATTACTATAATTCATTTATCATAATAAAAACTGAAACTATTTCCTGTTCACCTACTATGTGCCAGGCATAGATATCCCATAAGATATCTGACATAAATGGTCCCCAGTAACCCATTCAGCCACCCTGTAGGGAAGGGTGAGGATTCCCATATTACAGATGAGGACACTGATGCTTGGGAGAGGTAAAGGAACTTGGCCAAGGTACATACTAGAAGACAGGAGATGCAAACTCAGGCCTGTGGGCGCCATAGCACGTGCTCCTCCCACGTGGCTGATGTGAGCTGGGGACTGGGGGGCTAGCGCCATAGCTGGGGAGGCAGACGCAGGGCCTGCCAGGGCTCCCAGACACACAGCTGGCCAGGCTTCTCATCCCCAGGCTGAACTTCGAGCGCCCGGGGGCTTCTCCATATGCCCAGAAACCACCCTTAGAACCTCTCAATCAGACAGCGCGGGTATAGCTAGGAATTCTTATGTGACAAGCCCTCGGGTGACAGGAAAAGACACCCATAGTTAAACCACTGCTTTCAGTTCTCAGGGGGTCATGCTTTCACATCTACATGCTCTTCCAGAGGGTTCCAACATGATTCTTAAGTTGTTCATTGCATTATTTACAAAGGATATCATGACTCAGAACCCAAGACCTTACAATTCTAGAATTCTCAACAAAGCAACAATAATTCTGATCATCCACAGATGGGGTGTGAAGATCTTTGTCAACCATGACAATTATTCCCAAAGAGTGTGATGCTGACAAAAAGGACTTGGGAGCCCAGAGCCTTGAGTTTGAGTCCTAGCTCTGCCCTTTACTGGCCAGGCAGCCTTAGGCAAATCAGTTCAACAAAATAGTTATTCAAGGCTCTGGGCTGAAATAATGAAGACACAGGAGTGGACCAGAAAAGACATAATGCTCTTAGCGCTGAGCTCCTCATCTGTAAAATGGGAACCAACAGCTCCCAAGTGTATATGACGGCGTGCAGGCCCCCACATGCTGATGGGTTCTCACTCACAGCCCCAGGGCCTCAGGAAGCAGGTTGTCCTGTATCCTGCTCTGCAGGTGAGGAAGCAGGGATTCACGGGTGAAGTGGCTTGGGGTGATCCTACAGCAGCGTGCGGCGCTATCTGTGGTCTCTCCGCCCACCGCCACCACTGCCCCCCTTCGTAACCATTCTCCACTTGGCAGATGAGTCCACAGAGTGAGTGAATAACAGGAGAGAATGCTCTTCAGTCCATCAGGAACCGCACAGATGTATGACATCATGGTTATTAATAATGGAAGAGGCACGACAAATTCGCCAGCCCTGCAGAGGGGCCACCTGAGTTGTTGCAAACCTCCCACACACAGAGCATCAGATTCTGTCATGGCAGAGCTGGGAGGGGTCTTAGGAGTCCAATCTTTTCCTCGTTTTTAGGAGTGGGGAGTGGGCAAGATGGGAGGGCAGCCCTCTGAGACAGATGAGGCAGCCCTGCATCCCAAAGTCCAGGGTGTTCCGAGTTTGGCTTTTGTGACTGACCACCAAGATAATCTGACACCAGCACTTGACCACTCCGAAGAGTGCTGGTAAGCGAATCAGCAGTGGCTGTAAGTGTGGCCTCTCCACTGACTATCAACCCAGCTGCAGGGCCTTTGTACCTGTTGTTCCTCTGCTTGGAGTACTCTTGTCCCAGATCTTGACACGGCTATCACATGTTGATGATTCAGGTCTCAGGATAAAAGTCAGCTCCTCAGAGAGGATGCCCTAGACCCTAGCTTTGACTTTCCCAGGTCCTCCCTGACACTTCCCACCACACGGCCTTGTCTTCATGGTGTCTTCACGGTGTGTATCACCGGTGAGTATTATCTTGTCCATTACTATTCATTCTCTCTTCCCACTGGAATGCAAGCTCCATGAACAGAGGATTCACTCACTTTCATTGTCTTAGTCCCCAGAATGGTGCCTAGGTTCCAGCAGGCACTTAGCAAACATGCTCAGCGAGTCCCCCTGGATATCAGCCTGGGTCACGGGCATTCTAGCAGCCAGCAGTCCTTCACTCGCTTGCTCACTCACTCACTTACTCACTCATTCAATAAATGCTTATTGAATGTCTCCTCTGTGCCAGGCATTTTCCTAGGAGCTGGGGATTCCAATCCAGCTGAGACAAAGCCCTTGCCCTAATCAAGCTTTGACAGTTGATTAAAACAATCAACACAATAGAAACCAGAGCTATTTTGGTCACATCATGTGTGACCAGATGACAGTTGACCAAAAGAAAGTTGGGGGAGAAGTATGGCAGAAAACGGGAGAAATGAGAAAACACTGGGGAAATGCAAATAGACTGGCCCTGCTAGGGCCTCCCACATGCTCGATACAGTACTCATCTTGGGGAGCTGGTGCCAGGCACCCCCCACCACCCCAGCTCTGGGGACATGAGGACAAGGGCACACGCCCATCTCCGCAAGTGCCTCCTGGCTGCAGCCTGGAACACAGCAGGACAGCTAGGCATGAGAGCACGGACAGGAGTGGGTGTGAGGGAGGTGAGACCAGCGAGTGAGGGTGTGTATGCATGTGTAGGAGTGTGTATTCATGTGCAGTGGCACATGTGTGAGTATATGGGGTCGAGTGTGTAAGTGTGTGGGCGGGTTGATGTGGGAGTACACATGCATGTGTGCGCGCACGCATGCACGTGTGTGCATGTGTGTGCGTGTATGTGTGTGTGTGCATGTGTGGACTCTGGGGCCACTACTCTTCAGCACAGCTTCCACATCTGGTAGAACTTTACCTGCTCAAGATCTCCCCTCCACCCCGCAAATGGTGCATGGTAGGGACCCGATCATCATTGAATCCATTTAAGTCTTTATGTTTGCCAAATATGTTCCACAGGGTGTCCACATAAAGCAGCAAGACTGGTTCCAGAAGAGAAGAGTCAACTTCTGGACATAACTGAATGGAATGAGAGCACTGGATGAGGAGTCTGGGTTTTGTTCCCTGCTCTGCTGCTAACTCCTGGGTAATCTTGGGTCACTGTTCAGCTGTGATCTCAGGTAAGGCACTCAGCTCCTCTGGGCCTCTGTTTACTCTTCACTCAAGAAGGCAAGTAGAACTCAGCGACTGGATGAAAACACATCATGTCTACTGGTAGCTACTGAAGCACTGCTTCCTGGGAGAGCATGTGTGACCAAAAAAGAGCAACAGGATCAACCAGAGAAATGCTGGGTCTGACAAAGTTAAACAGGTTCTTTTATTGCAGCACTTCTCAGAGCCTTTAACTTGCCAATATGAATTGTGACTGGCTAGAAGGGTTATAGAAAGCTTGCAGAATTTGCCAGACTTACCAGCACAGGGAAATCTAACCCGTGGCACAACTTTTAGAACTAATGTTCCACAGAACCTACTTTGGGGGATCTGCTAGTAGGCACATGGGACATTTCTCAATGCCCCCTTTCTTGCAGATGACGGAACAGAAATGGTGTTTAGTATCCCTAAATCAGAGAGCACAGCCATGGCAAATATCAGCCCAGAATCATCCAAACCACAGCAACTGGCTTGTACACAAGGTTTTATATCTACAGAACATTTTCACTTATATGATCTCAGTCTTCCCTGACAACATTCTGCTGAGAACCTTCATCCCCATTTTCCAGATGATAAAATGCAGCCCAAAAGAGATTAAGGAATCTGCCCAGAGCCACTAAATGATGGACCCAGTACTTGCCTTTATCAATTTTCCCTATGACCTTAATCAAGCTGTCAATCAATCCATTCTATATTTCATAGGTAAGCGATTGTAGCCACTTTGCAGAGCCCCCTGCCAGAGCCGAGGCTGACACACCACACCTGTTCTGCGGCAGCCACCGCTGCTGTCCAGGATCCCCGGCCGCGGCCCCCGTTGAGAGGGGAGGGGAGGGCGCTCAGAGAAAAGCCCAAGGAATGAGAGCCGCTCTGGAAACACCCAGGCTGGGAGGCCGGGAGTCACTCCCTGCCGGTGGCCACACCCTCCCGATTGCCAGGTACATTCCCCTCAGGGCTGTACCCCCCGCGCCAGGTGCCACTCTGCAAGAGGGCAAGAAGAGCCAGATCAACGCTAGTTTCACTCACTCCCAATAAGCCGGAGGAGCCCAAGTCCGATCTGCTCTGACAGTCTGAAACTGCCAGCGCCTCCAGGGGGAAGCGTGGCCAGGACGGCCAAAGCCATTCAGCGGTTCACACCGGGGTGCCTTGTCCCGCCTTGTCCGGCAGTGAGACGCCCGAGAGGCGGGGCGGGCTGCGGGGCTGCTCCGGGCACAGGGGCCGAGTGAGGCTGTGCCAGGCGCTGGTGTGCGAAAGAAGTGTGAACGCGGGAACGCTGGTGTCACCCCGGGCTGGTGACAGAAGTAGCGTCTGGGAAACGCAGGCGGAGAGCGCGTGCACCAGGCAACCCCAGGCTGCGGAGAAGTCCCGGAGGTCCAGGGAGTTGGCCCGACGCGCTCCTGCACGCGCCCTCGTCCAGCCCTCTCTCACCGCTCCTCTCCCGAGGGTGGCCCCGCTGCGGGCCGGTCGGGCTGCTGACGCGCTTGGGGGTGCCCGGCTCCCGGCTGCCAGGCCGCGGCGGGGCGCGGGGCGCAGGCGCTCGCTGCTTACCTGCGGGCGGCCGCGACTCCGCGGCTCCGGGCTGCGCTGCGCTGGGCTGGTCTGGGCTGCGCTGGGCTGCGCGCCCGGCCTCCGCGCGGCTCGGCAGCGCCCGCTCGCTCGGCTCCGCCCGGCTCGGCTCCGCCCGGCGGTGCCCGGGGCTCTCGCTGGCGGCCCACGCGGCGCGGGGTGGGCGCGGGGCGGGCTGGCGGGCGGGCGCCGGCGGCGGGCGCGGCTCTGGGCCGCCCTGCGGCCGCTTGGAAGCTCCTTATTTGGGCAGTGATGTCAGGGGAAGTCGCAGGGGCCGGACCACCCACTTCTTTCCATTCACTCCCCAGAGTTTCCTGTCGCCGAGCTCGGGGGACCCCGGCGCCCGCAGCAGGCGCCTCTCCGGCCGGCTTGGCCCTAGCGTACCCGGCTTCGCTGTCGGCCGCTTGGGGGTCCCGGCGTGGCCGGGCCCAGGAGGGCGGTCGGGCAGGCTGCCGCCCGGGAGGGTCTGCGTCTGGGGAATCCCCGGCTCCCAGCGGCCGCGGGGAGGGTCTGTGCAGCGGCCTCAGCGGTGACAGGCCGTGTCACTCCGGGCGCCGCCCCTCCCTCCGCGCCCGCCCCGGCTCCCGCGCTGTCATTTCCTCCCAGGCCCTCCGGGAAGGGCAGTCAGGGAACCCCGGTCGTCGCCGCCGCCGGGGCCGTGCCCCTCGGGGCCCCGTCTCGGCTGCACCCGGCCTGGCGGGCGTCCATTGCCGTCCCCAAAGTGCCGGGTCCCCGCCTTGCTCCCGGGTGCCAGCCCCGCTCCGGGAAGCCCGTGCCTCCCAAGGCGGGAATATGCCTTCTCTAGTGCTGGGCGGGGCGGGCCTGGCCAGGCTCCCTGGGCTCTCGCCTGGGGGTGGGGGTGGGGATGAGGGCTCCCCGGGGCTTCCCAGTGGCCTGACTTTGCCAGAAGCTACCGGATCCCAAAGCTTGGGACCTGAGTCACACTGGCCCACCTTTGTGCCAGCGCCCACCAGGGCCCCCGCTGGCCTGCTTCCCGAAGGAGCAGAACGGCCACCAGGATCTGTATTTTACTGCTGCAGCACACTGAGGTTCTGACTCGTCAGGTGACTTGCCGGAGGTTAACTCTGCTGAACCTGGACTCACCCTGGGTTTGGCTGACTCCAGGCCTGGCCTTTGCTGCCCTGGAATAGCCTCAAAAGGTTGTGGGGCCGGGGACCAAAGTTAGGACAAGAGTCAGGCGAACTGAGTGCCTAGAGTGCCAGCTGAAGAGGCACTCCCTCTCCAGGTCACAGAAGTTCAAGGACCCACAGGGTGACTGACAAGCTGACCTGGGCAAAGCTGACCAGGGCTTCCAAAAGGCCTTGAGGCCCCAGGCTTCCTCTGGCACCGAAGTGATGGCCTAAATTCAAGGCCCTGCCTGTCACAGGGAGTGGGCTTCCTCTAGGCCCAGGGGACAAGCTAGTGGCCCTGGGGATTTCTGTGCCTTCTCCATACAACAGCTTTCAGCAGAGTCTCTTCCCTCTCTCCAAAGCCAGGGTAGAGCAAACAAGCCCCTCCCAGACCACCAGCTTTAACAGAGGAACGGCAGCTTCCACAGGGGAACCTCACTCCTAGGTGCCTGCAGGAGGAAACCACAGCTCCATGGCCTGCAGGGGGTAGAGGGAGGTGTGATCACAGCTGGACACTCACTGTGCCTGCGCACTCATGCACACAACTGCACACCGGCTGGCCAGTTGCCAAGGCTCCCAGCTGTTCTGTTGATCACCACCACTTCAGCCACCACCCCACCCCCCGCCCCCCGCATCTTCCAGTAGTGCCCAGAGCTCCATCTCAGCTCCAATTGGGTCATCCTCTTTCTGACAAAGCTCCAAAGGGAAGGACCACACTCTGATCTGGCACGCAAGGCCCCCTCAACCAGCTGCATCTCCCGTGGTTTAACCCTCCATGTCCTTTTCCAACACTCTGTCCAACCTTCCACCAGCATTCACTTTTAGGGGGTCTTTGCATAGATTTTCCTTTGTCTGAAATGCCCTCTCTACCCATCCTGTGTCCTTCACACCCTGAATCAAGCCTGCCTTTGACACAGTCTTCCTCTTAATGAGCTTCCCTGGTGGCTCAGAGGGTAAAGCACCTGCCTGCAATGAGAGAGACCTGGGTTTGATCCCTGGGTCGGGAAGATCCCCTGGAGAAGGAAATAGCAACCCACTCCAGTATTCTTGCCTGGAGAATCCCATGGTTGAAGGAGCCTGGTAGGCTACAGTCTACAGGGCCGCAAAGAGTCAGAAACGACTGAGCGACTTCACTTTCCTCTTAATGAGGGCAAGTGAGACAAGGTACCCCATGGAACAAGACCTTGCCCCTCACTTCACTCCTGTCCTTCCCTCTCTGCCCTGCTTACTGTCCCTGGTTGGGAGCAGCTCCAGGTGGGAACAAGTGGGTGTCTCATTATAATTCATATGCCTGGAGGGGTGACATTTTGTAACAGGCAGAAAGGCTCAGGTAACAGGCTTGTTCCTACCCCAGGATGAGTACCCTCTCCATCTTTGAGAGATGGCCCTGACCCCACTGCAAGCTCCCAGTGGATTTAGTCACCCTCCTTTGTTGCCACTGACAGCTCAATGCTTCCTGCCTCTAGAAACGTGCCCATCACCCCAAGCTGCAGTCAGCTGAGAGACCTCCCTTCTTTCCAGTCTGGAAGCTGCCAGGAACTTTCCATCTTCGTTCTTCTCTCCCGCCAAGACTGAGAAGTCCACAAATGTTTGTTAAGTGAATGAATGATTCTGGGGGGCCGAGGGGAGCAAATGGAAAGATAAACTAACCATAGGAGTGGCAGAATGATCCAATTCAGAGCTGCAACTGAGGTTCAGGGGCCCTGGCTAGGGGCCTGGGGTGGAAGGTGGGTTTTCAACTGGACTGGATGCTTGGAAACTGGGCCAGTGGGCCAGCCCTGCAGAGGCTGCCCTGACAAGGCCCTTTCCTTGGACTGCTCCTTTGTTCCGGTTTTCTGTGGCTTGGGATTTGTCTTCCCCCTCCCTTCTCTTGATAAACTTCTGTGCCACCCCATCGAGGCAGGCTGGGACATTCCCATCCCAACCTTCAAATATATAGTCCAGACTGGCTATAGCAAAGTAGAAAAGAAGGCATGAGAAAGGTGTTTTATTGAGTACTTTCATCATGCCAGACACAGTCACTCTGGATTTTCTGAAACTCCCCCCAAAGACCCTGCTTTTTACCCCTCAAGTCACACTTCCCAGCTGGTAGCCATCCTCCAGGCCAGGAGTGTCAACCGAGAAGCCTTCACTCAGCTTCTCCTTCAACCAAAGCTCCCAGTCTCCTGTCTCGAGATTCAGTCTCCATCCCAGTTCTGGTGCCAGTTCTCACCAAAGGCCAGAAGGTCTGCAAGACTCCAGCCTCAGAGCTCAGGGATATGGGATGCAGGCAGGCAGCCCTGCTTCAAGGTAAGAAGCCTGAGCCCAACTCTGCTCCGTGAGCCACCTCCCCTGCCCTAGGGCCCCAGGCACCTCTCCCACCTTGCAGCTGGATGGGCCCCAGGTGAGAAGGCAGGTGGTGCCAGGTGCCAATTCCTTCCTATCAGCGCTTCCCCTGCATATAGCTGGGCCAGGTCTTGAGAAATTCCCAGAGCCTGGCCCTGGGGGCTTTCCTACATTCCTTCATTCCTCAAACATGAATCAGGCTCCTTCTCTGTTCTGGGAACGTGCAACACACACACAAACCTGTGTGCTAGGAGCTCCATCCAAGGATGGAGACTAGCAGGTAAACAGATCATCCCAGTGCAACTTGCTAAATGCTACAGTGCTGTTTGCCAAGCCTGGGGCAGAGCAGGGGCACATGAGGTGAGAGATAAGATTTATTCTACTTCTGGGGCTACAATTCAGGGAGATTGTGGTCCAGGTGTCCCAGGCTAGATTGCTGAATGCTTGTTTCCACAGAAACAGTACACTACACACACACACACACACACACACACACACACACACACACTGGGCTTGGTTCTGCTGTGAAGCCAATATCACGCTGTAGAGAATTTATAGACTAAAAGAGATTGGAGCAGAGGAGATGGTTGGCATTGGATCTGTCGTCTAAGAGGCTGTCTCTGTGAAATTTTCTTTCCAACTCCTAACAACCAAATTACAGACACAGTTTTGGAACACACCACGATTCTGAAAGGTTGGGGACTGCCGTGGTCTTGGGAGAGCTTTCAGGGTGGAGCTAAGCAACCTGCCCAGCAGGCTCTCCAGGTACTTTATGTTTGAGTTTTGTACTTACTTACCAGCTACCCCTTCTCCACCTCCTTTCCTCCATGGCTCTGATTCCCTGGACTCGCGTGCTTTGTGTTGTTTTACTGTTTGCTGGTGTGTGTGTGTGTTTGCTGGGTGCTCTCTTGATAGATCTGTTACATCAGTCCTCACTTCTCACAGAGGTAGTCATCTCTCTCCTGGGACAGAGGCTGAGGGACTCTTACAGTTTATGGAGATCACCTCCAGGGGTCCCAGAGGACTCAGCCCCAACCTCCCTTCCCAGCCTGAGAGCTGTGTTTCCGGCTTTCTGTCTCAGTCAGGTACTCACTTCATCCTTCATCTGATGCTGTGGGTGACAGCATGGGCCTCGGAGACACGTGGATCTGGCTTCAGCTCCCAGCCACACTTACTGTGTGATCTTGGGCATGTTTACCTGATGTCACTGATCTTGACTTCCTTATCCTAAGAACTGCTGTGAAGATGTGACAAGAAACCACAATAGAGCCCTTGATGGAGTATCCAGCACCTAGATGGTGCTCAATAAATGGAAGTAATGGTTGCTTTATATTGTCACCCAGAATCCTGCTCCTTTTTTTTTTATTATCTTATTGTTTATCCTCACTAGTGGGGACACCCATCATCCCAAGCCTGAACCAGAATCCCTTCTCCATTCTTGCTGCCCCAGTCCAGGCCACCATCACCTCCCAGCTGCAACAGCCTTCTGCCTGGTCCCCCTGCCCATCTCCTGCCCTCCCCCTGCCCCCTGTATCCATTCTCCACATAGGCAGAACTCTCTAAGACAAATTCAAGTGGGTACCTGTTCAGCTAACTTACCCTATTAGTGCCTCTTTTAACAGCTTCAGTTCACCTACCCAAGCCTACCTCTCTCTGCACACCCCCCATGCTCCCATCATACAGAACTGCTCACTGTTTCTAAACCTGCCGAGTGCATTTTGCGCATGCAGTCCTCAGTAATGTTCCCCTCATTCATATTGCTTGGCTGGCTCCCATGCAGCCTTCCAGGCCAGCTCAGAGGCCACTTCCCTTGTGAAAGCCTCCTGGGTCCCCGAGCTGGCACTGGCTGCTTCCTTCTCCATGAACCTCCAGCATGTGGAACAGATGTTCTGGCTTGTGCCCCATTATATGCAGTCATTTCAATGATGTATCTCTTGCCCCTTTAGTTTCTGCAGCTCCATGCACAACCACTTCTTATTCAGTGCCAGGAACGTCTCAGGTACGCAGAGCACACCCAGGATAGACTTATGTGCCACTGGCCCTCCTATCCAGTAGGCAACTACAAGAGGCCACTGACTGGTCTTCCCCAGGTGACAAAAATGTCCTCTTTTCCTACACTTCAGACTGAGGCTTTGACTCAACCTGAACCCCAGGTCTGCCTCATTCTGGCTTTCTACCAGCATTTCCCGGGGACTCCCGCCGGGCCCATTGAATCCCAGGTGGGGAGGGTGGGGCCTTTGGTTCCAGGAAATCAGATTAGTCACTCCCCCTGGCAGCTGTGAGAACAGGTTTTCCCCAAGCCTAGGGGCCGACTTGCAAGATCATCAATAACAGGTACTATTTACTCTGAGTATGGCTTCATGTCTGCCAATGGGAGGTACATCAGCTTCTG